GGAATCTTGGGTTATGCAGAGATTTTTCACCCCTTTGACATTTCCCATAACCTGATTTGACTACAGCTCCAATTTTCGAAGCTCGCTCTCTTCCTCTAGGGGCAGATGAGAGCAGGTGCTCAGTTACCCGTGCTGTTCACGGAACTGGAGAAAGGGCACACATTTAAGATGCATGTATGTCTGAGGAGCTCTGTTTCTTCCGGGAATCTCCTGGAGAATTAGCGGGAGAGGAGCACAGTGGGGGCGTATCAGGAACAGGCTGGAGGAGGGAGGTGGAGTTCTGCTCTCTCTCACATGCTACATTCTGCTCATAAGGGACACGTACTCGCAATGCAGCTCCAGAGTCTGAGTCCGTGGAGCCCAGGAACGAACACAAACCCATCTGTGGTTCTGCAGATGGGCCCCTTACCTCCCTGGAAGAAATATGTGCTAAGGTCCATTCGAGATGACGGTCTAGAATCCTATTACCTCCAGAGTTCGACGGCGGCATGCAGTGGGTGTGGCCATGTCATATCCTAGAGGTCGGTGCCTGGGTCTTGGAGCCTCTTTTGATGGCACTCTGACAGATCATGACCGAAGGCAATGGGACCAGGTCCCCCCACCCCTGCCCCCCACCCCTGCCCCCACCACACCCCAGGTGTACTTCTGTCATAATCAGGCAGAAAACTCTGCCGCCCCGTGGGGGATTCCAAGTCTGCAAACCACCAGACACAATCACTGTTTTAGGGAAGGAGAAAGAGGACAAAGCAACATATGAAAAAAAAGTTTGTTCAGTGTGCCTTTTATAAAGCAGGTGATGAAGCGGACATCTTGGGATTGGCCACATCATTCACCGACAGGCACAGTCCACGAGGCTACCACAAAAACCACGACGGTAGAACAAAATGGAGGAATTCACATTTTGCATTTAGTGGTGTTTCACTGCCACTGAATAGAAAAGGCTAAAGACTTTCAAACCAGGATCTTTGTAAAAGGCAGCCTCCTGCAGTTGTAACCCACAGATCCATCCCCAAAGGAGCACAAATTGTGTGACAGATTATTCTTTTCAGGGCCTAAAGAAATAAGGCTCGGAGTTTTCAAGGGTTCACATTTCACTTCTGACACCAGAATAATGAAACGTTCCAGAAAAAAACTTACATGTTCCAATTGATTGGCACTGCCAGTCATGCATGTGGTTTGTCAAGTCTGACACTGTGGGAGAAGACGGTACGCAGACCTCAGGCGTGGGGTCCGGGGAAGGAGAGCACCTGGGCTCCAGACAGTGATCAGGACCCCGCACTCATGCTTCCAGGCTCGGTTGGACAAGGACTGAGATGGCGAAGATACTCTCCAGCACAAGACTGGGAGGGTAGGGGTATAGAGCCACGAGTGCTGCTGAAATCAAATGCCACCAATTTGGTGGTTCTCCATGGTGCTCAGGAAGGGTGTGCCCCTAGTGAAAAAAATCTGTGACTCTCTGTCCCCTTAGTCCCCAGTGGCCTCTGTTAGCCATTAGGGTAGCAGCTTCCCCAGGAAGAGCAGAGGCAAGGGCATCTCTGGTTGGTGAGCAGGGAGGCTCAAAAGCCAACAGACCCCACCATGGCTGCAGGTGCACGCAGAGTGCCCCAGGGGTCCCAAGCATGGCCACAGAGTCCCCCAATCAGCATCCCGTTAGCTTCCCGAAGAGTGGGGACACACTGGTGTTCACACTTTCGGGACATGTCACAGCAACACCGCCTCTGGGTCTTCAGTGTCCAGTTAGTCCTGAAGACCTTGTACTAACTGTTAAGAATCTGAATACGGGCATTCTGGCGCATGCCTCACTTCTCTCTGAATATCTAGACCATGCCAGCTCCTTCTACTATGTGCATAAATGTGTACGTGTATGTGCGTAACACTGTGCAGGGAGAAGAGGACAGTGTGTAGAGTGACAGTGTGTAGAGTGGGCTTTGGGGAAGTGCCCTTCCTTGGATCACAGTCCAAAAAAATATGTATAGAAGTTTTTTAAAAAGTGCCCTAGAGTGCCAATGAGTTGGCCAGTCCCCACTGAAAAACCTCTGATCTAGAACATCCTGTACTTAACAACCAAAGGTAGTTCTTGGGCATGGTTGTATCCTTCCTCAAGGCTGAGAGGACACCTGAGAACATGTTTACCAGGTAAGTAAAACCTTTGAGACCCTTGGTGAATTGCTTTTGTCAATAAAACACAATAGTCTGCAACCACAAGACATCACTTGTGCAGGATGGGGGGTTACTAGAGCAGGATGGGGGGATTATCACCACTCGCTCCTTCGGCCAAACTGGGAACACCATCTCTTGTGGAAAATCTGAGGAGCCATTCCTCCTAAATGGTGAGTCACAGAGACAAATGGAAGCTCAGGGAGAGTCTAAGGAATTCATCCTTCCAGGTAGTAAACATTTTTTTGTTGTTAACTTCCTTTAAATATTAATTCAGTGGTTTTAGCATATTCTAAAAACTCAACTACCATCATCACTAATTCTAGAAAATCCTCATCACCTCCCCCCTCAAAACCCGGCATCTATTCTCATTCACTCTCCATTCAGGCCAGCCCGGAACCCCTGGCCAGCATGGTCCTCTAACATTCTCTACAGATTCGCCTATTCTGGACATGTCACAAAGACGGAACCAGATGGTATGTGGCTTTCTGCAATGGCTTCTTCCACCCGGCATCACATTTTCAAGAGTCACCCATGTTGTAGCGTGTACCAGGATTTCATTCCTTTTTATAGCCAGGTACCATGCCACTGTACAGAGAGACCATATTTATCCATTCATCTGCTGATAGACATCTGGGTTATTTCCACTTTGGGCTATTACAAGTGATGGTGTCAAGAACATTTATGTCCAAGTTCTTGTACTTGTGTATGCTTTCATTTCTCAGTAAATACCCAGGAGTGGCATTTCTGGCTCATATAGTAATTCTATGTTTAACTTTTTGAGGCACAGCCAAAGTATTTTCCAAGAGGCTGGACCATTTTCTATTCCCACAAGCAATGCGGGAGAGCTCCAGTGACTCTACATCCTTGCCCTCACCTGTTACTTGCCCAGCTCTTTGAGGACAGCCATCTTAGTGGGTGTGAAGTAGCATTTGCCCGTGGCTTGAACAAGCATTTTCCTAATGAATAATAATATTAAACATCTTTTCATGGGCTTATTGGACATTTTTATGTCTTCCTTGGAGAAAATATAAACATATGTCTATTTATTTGTTTATTCAAATATATTGCCCCTTTAAAAAAACCAGCTTGTCTTTTTATTGTTAAGTGGTAAGAGTGTTTGATATATTCCGGATAGGAGTATATGATTTGCAAATATTTTCTTCCATTCTGTGAGGTGTCTTTTCACTTTTTTGACAGTGTCCTTTGAAGCACAAAGGTTGTGTACCCCGTTTCGTGATGAGGTTAATTTACCTATTTTTTTCCTTTCCTTGTGCTTTTGGGTAGCATATCTGAGAAATTATTGCCTAATCCAAGGTCACAAAGATTTATGCCTGTGTTTTCTTCTAAGAGTTTAATAGTTTTAGCTCTTACATTTAGGGCTTGAAGAATTTTGAGTTAATTTTTATACAAAATTTTTATACAAAAGTGAGAGGTAGGAGCCCAACTTCATTCTTTTTTTTATTGAAGGATGGTTGACATACAATGCTTTATTAGTTTCAGGTGAACAAGATAGAATTCCAACAATCCCATACAGTAAGTGTAATCAAATACAAAGTTATTACAATATCATTGGCTATACTCCCTGTGCTGTACTTTTCATCACTGTGACTTACTTTTATAACTGCAGGTTTGTTCCTCTTAACCCCCTTTACCAACTTCATCATTTTGCAGGTGTATTACCAGTTTTCCCAGTCCCATCTGTTGAGCAGATTGTCTTCCCTACTGAATTCTTCTGCCACACTTGTCAAAAATCAATTGACCATGAATGGGAGGGGTTTTAACTGCACTCTCCATTCTATTCCATTGGTCTACTCCATTGATCCACATGTCTATCCTTATGCCAGTACCACACTCCTTTGATTACTGAAGGCTTGTAGTGAAGTTTGAAACCAGGAATTGTAAATCCACCAACTTTGTTCTTTCCAAAAGATCATTTGGCTTTTCTGGGTCCCTTGCATTTCTGTGTGAATTTTAGGATTAGCTCATCAATTTACACAAAGAGGCCAACCAGGATTTTGATAAGAGAACTGCATTAGCCTGTAGATCATTTTGGACAGTACTGTCATCTTAATAATATTTAAGTCTCTGATCCATGAACACAGGATGTCTCTCCATTTCTCTGAGTTTCTTCAGTTTCTTTCAATGATATTTTGTAGTTGTCAGGGTATAAGTCTTATACTTCTTTTGTTAAAAGTATTCCTATTTTTTCTTTCTTATACCGGTATAAATGTGTATATTTCTTAATTTCATTTTCATATTGTGAGTTGCTAGTATAAAGAAATACCACTGGTCTTTGCATATTGACCTTGCACCCTGCAACCTTGACAAATTCATTTATTAGTTCTAATGGGTTTGTATGTGTGCATGAACTCCTTAGAATTATCTACATGCAAAATCATACCATCTGCCAAGAATTTTTCTTCTTCTTTTCCAACCTGGATGCCTTCTGTTTCTTTTTCTTTCCTGACTATTTCACATAAATATTAGCTTCTTAAACACTTGTAGCCCAACTTTTCATCAGCTGCCAATGCCAAATGGTTTCATAAGGGAATCCCCTGTTCCTAGGGCCACCTTCTGACATGCTGGTGCCCAAGGATGCTGGGATGGTTCCATGCAAAAGTAAAAGCACTCTAAAGTCAGAAGGATATTAGCACCACTCTCCACATCTGAGGTCCCACTCCCACTCCTTATTCTGAGCTAAGAACAGTAAGCTTCCACACACCAATCCCATACTTACCACCTTTCACGAGATCCCAGAATAAAGGAGTAAAAAGATACTAGAGAGAAATGACAGGTCCAGGAGAATAAAACCAACCAATCAACCAATGAGAGCAGCAGTGGGGGCAGGGCATATAAACCCCCGTAGGAAGCCAGGGGAGATCCAGGGACTGTCTGGTGGCTGAGTCACCCCAACATTTCCACCGTGGAGACTACTTCCCCAACCCATGCCAGAATTTCCCACCCCACTCAAGCTACCCCGAGGTGTGGAAGGGTGCAAACTGAAAGGTACCTTATACATACACGCACACCGCCACCAAGGGGCAGACTGTCTATGCCGGCACACCTCGAGCCACAAGAGGCAGTCCTGGCCCAGCCGGGTCACACTGTGGATGGCTGCGAGCAGCTCCTCTGGCTGGAGCTGTGGTGGCTCAGGACAAAAGTGGATGAGTTGCTCTTTTTGCTGACGCTGGTCTCTCCCGGACGACTGCCCTTCAAGTAGCTGGAGGAGCAGCAGAGGAAGCGCTGTACCAGTTCGTGGAAGAGATGGCCCGTGAAGAGCAAGTAGATCCATGGGTTGCAGCAGCTGTTGAGGCTGGCCAGGAGCATGGCTATGATGAAAGCCGAGGCTGAAAGGAGGATGGGGGCGTGGGGAGAAAGGAGAACAGGCCATCACTACTGGAGGGCCACCATCATTTCCCGAGAACAGCCTTCCCCAGGCGCCAGGTGCTGAGTCACAAGACAGAGACGTAGAGGGACAAGTTCTGCCTGCCGTCCACATCATGGCTCCGGGTGTGCGCTCAGCCTGCCCCCGCCACACACACACCCCAGCCTTCCCAGGCTCAGCCAAGCCCTAGAATGCTCCCTGTCCTTTCTCTCGTCAAGAGTACCCGCCGAATGCTTCCGTCAGCAGGAGCTGCGCTCGTCACAGCCACCTGTTCATTCATAACTCACCCAGTGCGTATCCAGTGCCCACGACTCTGAGTGCCCAAGAGCACAGCGTCGAGGAGCTGCCAGACCTAGTTGGTAGTCTTGTTCTGCCAGCAACAAATTACTTTAGTTCCCCAGGAGACTGCTGTTTGCTAATCTTTACATGGGGATAACAAGAGCATGCAAAACACGCAGGAAGACTGCAAGGATTAAAAAAATGCCTGGTATACAGTAAGGGCCCAATACACGGTAGCTGCTATCGTGACTGTGTGCCATGCACCAGGCTAGGCCCTGGGGACACAAAAATAAAATGAGTAGCACCACAGGGTGGGCACAATTCAGGCCGGTTGGGCAGACCAAGGAAGGGGAGCAACTCGGAGCTAATCATAGGCCAGACTTACAGAAAGCGACGTTTGAGCCAAAACCTGAAAAGTGCTTAGGAGTTTTCTAGGCAGAGAACGGAGGAAGGGTGTTCCAGGCAAAAGGAATGGCCCAGGCAAAGGCGTGGTGGCAAGAAAGCGTTGCCATCTTCGCCGTTGAGAACACTGAAAGTTCTGTACCCCTAAGAGCACGCTTCGGCATGACAAATCAGACTCACACATGAGAAAAGGTTATCCTGAAATTCTTTAAGGTACTGGGCAGAAGCCATTATACTAGGGATTTATTGTGTTCCAGACAAAATTAAGGATCAACTTCAAGACACTGCTTTTTGCAAATTCAAACTTCAAGAAGAAAGAAAAATTCTGAATCCTGAGGCACCTGGCTGGGTCAGTCACTAGAGCGTGCCACTGTTGATCTTCATGTTGTGAGTTCAAACCCCATGCTGGGTGTCGAGGAAAGAAAAAAGGAAAGGAAAGTAGGGAGGGAGGAAGGAAGAAAGAAGGAAGGAAAGGAAAGGAAAGGAGGAGAGGAGAGGGGAGGGGAGAAAAGGGAAAAGAAAGGAAGGGAAGGGAAGGGAGAAAAGAAGGAAGGAAGAAAGAAAAGAAAAATTCCTAATCCTATATACTTCCAAGTAGAGGAGAGGAAAAAATTTGGAGTTTCTTGCAATAGACTTCCATCTGACAAACTACAGGTCTCTCCCCCCAATGGAGGAGAGTGAGCACTCCCTCCAGAAACCTGCCAGGACAGCAATACACCCAAGAATGCTGCTCACAGCCACATCCTTACCAGCTGCAAGAGGGCTTGAAAAATCTGCTGCTCTTTGATCTTTTCTGCAGAAAGTTTTCAGAAAATATCTCCAGAATTCTGGGCTCCTGGCTAGCTCAGTCAGAGTGGCCTGCGACTCTTAATCTCAGGGTTGTAAGTTTGAGCCCCACATCAGGCATAGAAATAACTTAAATGAACAAATAAATAAAAACAAAACAAAACAAAACAAACCTCCAGAATTCAACAGCTGAATCCAGGAAAGGATTTCTCACAGGGACTGTGAAGCTACAAGACTTAGAGGCCACCACAGAGGCAAGCATGGAGACATCTGTCAGACATCTGTCACCTAGTCACCAAAGGAGGAAGGATGATTATCCACAAGACGATGGTTTGGTTCTCAAACTGGGATCCCTGGGTCACCTGGGAACTTGTTAGAAATGTAAATTCCCAGGCCTTACCCTAGACCTACTAGACCAGACTCCTGGGGGTGAGGTTCTGACACACACACAAGTTGGAGAACCACTGGTCTAATTCCTTGGTGCACCTGTTGGCACAAGAGTAAACTAGAGCAGATAAAATCAGAAAGTCTTGCACAAGAGACTGTTTAGGGAAACAAAGGAGGAGCATCTAAACCTTAGACTAAAATAGTAAAGAACAGGAAAGTAGAAAAGTGGAGGGGGGAAAAAGTCAGTACTGCTCATTTTCTATAAAAGAGAATGAAAAAAATACATATTTGATTTGAGTAGCTAAGATGATGAATTTAAGTTTAGAAATTCTGGTGAAAAATCACCAAGACTAAAAACAGAATGTCCTCAAAAATTCAATGTATAAAATAAAGGAGGCAAAATCAACACACAGTTAAAATTTTAAAAAGACCCTGAGAAATAAACTACCAGACTCAGCGGCAAGAATGCAGGCATGTAAGGTTAGGAAACAAGAGAGAGGACAGAGCAGGAATGAACGGGCTTGCACAGGAAGACATCACCTTTTACCTAACTGTATAGAGTTAAAACTGTTATCTTTTCTCTTAAGCTATTTGCCTGACTTTACATTTGGATCATTTAACTTATTTATTCTATTTAAAAAAAAAAAAAAGCATACAGAAACATCAACAGCAAAAAAGGAAACAGTTAATGAATTCCAGATACACCACCCCCCACCCCCAATGGAGATTCCCTTCCTCTGTGTGGCCAGCCCCTGTAGGACTCTGGACCAAGGCAGGTGCCTCTGCCCCCCCTACCCCCGGTGGCCACAGACACGTAGGATGGGCCTGGCTTGGCTCCCTGGGGGATAGATGACCCTCTCTAAGCTGAACCTACTCCTGTCAGGTTGCCAAAGGCGAAGGGCACAATTGCACTTTAAAAAATCTGGCAATATCCTAACTGTCGAGAGACAAGAGTCCACAATGGTGGAAATGCCAGCCCTCAGCAGGGAGGAGAGCTATCTGGGAATCAGGAACCGGCTGTAGAGGACATTTCAGAGGAAGGAAACAATAGGAATGAAGGCACATAAGTGAGAATGTCCAGGAACATTCAGGGACTACCAGAGTCGGGGAAAGGGAGTTTCACGGGGAAAGAAACAGGAAAGAGCCTGAGGAGGACCTTGAGTGCAGGCCGCCTGAGCTTTAGTCTACAGACAGTGGGGAGCCCTTGATGGTTTCTAAGCAGGCGACTGATTGACTGCCCCTCACAGGCTCTCTGCACTTTCTGTTCCTTGTTTAGACCACACTGTTGCCCTTTCTGGTGGCTAGAGAAGCCAACAGGAATAGAACAAAGCATGGAAAATATTGTCCTCACGATTCACAATGTTGTTTCCAAGAGAGCACAGGGCCATGTAGTGATGCTGACCATGGGAATCACTGCTCAAGTTGGCACAGGACCCTATGGTTTTCAAAGCAGACTCATCCCCGTCTTCTGTGTGAGGAAAGGGAAGTCCAGAAGGGGAGTGACTTCCCCAGGGACACACAACGTGTCACCCTGTGTTTCTACCTGAACTTAATGAAGCTATTCCTTTTCAAACTAGGTCAGTGTTCACACATGTCAGGTTGGTACCAGTTAGTGAATCCTCTCAGTCCCAAAGCAAAGACATAGGCTTGCCAGACAATCCCTCTTAGGGTATGATTTGAGGGCAAGTCAGAGAGCAACTACCCTTTTCCCACACAGGTAGAATTGCCCATGGAGGCAGGGTATTGCCTCTTCTCAGTGATGATCTTTTATAATCTAAGTATATCTGGGATGGGAAACACATTACCTCCTATCAGACCACCATCGTTCCTAGCAGAGATGTCTCCTGGTCTAGACCAGTGACCAACAAGCTCTATTGTTTGGCCTATGGGGGCCAAATCCCACCTGATGCTTGTTTTTCTAAATAAAGTTTTATTGCAACACAGCACACCTATTCATTCATATATTGTCTCTGGCAGCTTCTGCACTACAAGGAGAAAGCTGAGTACCTGTTCCAGAGACCTTATACCCACAAGCCTAAAAGAGTTACTACCTGGCCCTTTACAGAAAGCTAGCCCATCCTTGATGCCTGGAGGAGGGGCAGATGTTAAAAAGCTGTGGAAAGGGCTCCTAAGGAGGGGGGGGGAAATCCCACAAAGCAAGCCCCGCCCACTTCTCCCCACACTCCGGAGATGGCTTTGGTTTCAAGTTACCCAGACTCCGGCACAAATCCTGGCTCTGCCATTTTGCACTTTGTGTGTTCTAGGGCAAGTCTTCTAACCTCTTAACCTCAGTTTCTCCATCTGTGAAATGGGAGTAATAAAAAGAACTCCTTTACAGAATCATTGCCAAGTTTCACTAGCAGGACGCCAAGTATCCATCATGATTCCTGGCACTCAGTAAAAGTAAAAACTTAACGTACTCAGTTATTACCATTATCACTACCATGATGTGTACACGCCCAATAAATGCTACTTTTCTTAAGGATAACAGAGTTAACGCCAACCCGTGTGAAACAATGGGGAGAGGCTGCTCCCTGGGTTCGGCTGTGTCTTGGAATCTGAGATAGCCCAGGGTGGGGCACAGGACACAGGACCCAGTGGCTGAGCTGCTGGAAGCCGCACTGACATATGGCAGTGTCCATCCAGTGAGTCTCTTGGGCCAGACCGCATGGCCAAGGAGGTCAGCTCATACGTAGATTCGTTTCCTGGCTCTACAGGCCCGTACCACCCGCCCAACCAACAAGCTTATCTACCCTGTTCAGCTAGCTTGTGACTTCCGGACGGGTTTAAACAGACTGAAACAATGGGCCATCTTCAGGGAGAGCGAGGGGGGTGCCGAGGCCCCACAAAGTCAAAGGTGTGCCGAAACAATGAACCAACGATGGAGGAGAATGTCCTTGCCTTATTCCATCTTCTTTGGGGTCCTGGGAATGTCTGATCTCGCCCTGCAGATTTCCGTATGAAGACCTGTTTTAACTCACATGCAAGCCTGGACATCGCAGGGAAGAAGCATCTGTCTCCGCACCGCAAACTGCCCTCTCTCCTTTCTGCTCCAGCATTCCAGCTCGAGGTTCTGGTGCACGCCACACGCAGGGTGTTCTTCTGGAC